GCAGAATTGTTCTCATGCGTGGGACGTCACATGGCAAAGCAAGATCTTGCAGTAGGTGGGGATTGGAGTTGCCAAGGAGCTCCGCTGAAAACAGAGTTTTTATGTGAGAGGGCCGTAGGTTGCTGGGGAGTTTCGATGAGTTTAGCTTGACATGCGTTCCATCCGTTTGGCGCTGGGGGGGGCCCTAGAGGCCTTGGGCTGATGTTTCAGTTCGAAGCTGAGTTTGACTTGCCGCCGTTTGTTCGGCCGCTGGCCACAGCTCAGATGCACAGTGTAGCTTCCACTCATGGGACATGGTGGGCCCGGCATCGGATTTTTTTTTTGCCGAGAGCCAGAGACCTCAAAAGGACAGAAAAGAAGCTGGCAAACTGTCGGCATGCGCCTCGAAGCTACCAATAAAATGCCGGATAGAGACAAAATCGAGCGTGTTATAGCTGAGCTGCGTGGCTATCCCTTGACATTCGTTCCTACCCTCGCCCTTGCTTTTTCTTAGCCCACTTTGTGGCTCAGAATTCTTTCTTCTTGGCAGCCTCCCAAATTCTTGAGGACGCTCCCCTGAAATAATAGGAGATGTTGATGAGATCCGCAAATCAAACTCATAGCCTGTGAACGCCCATTTGGCCATGTCCACACGCCTTCCCGGCCAAGGCCCCGCCCGGGGAGAGACCTCGAGGCCGCGAGGCTCGCGGCCCCGCGTGGCTTCGGCAGTAGGGCGGCGCTGGGCCAGCTGGGCATTGCTAGGAGCGCTCCGTGAGCTCGGGGGATGAAGCTGCAGAAAAAAAGTTGGTACCCTTATTCTAACCTCTTTGGTGGAGGGCCTGGGGGACAAAAGGTGGACATGAAGTTATAAATCCCCAACCTTGATGCCTGCTTCGTGCCTGAAATGGCGAGAGAAGCGGCCGCTTCCACACACCGAAAAATGGAAGGAAGCTGATAGAGTTGAGGCGTTTCCGGTGGCTTCTTCAATTATGGATGGTGTTAGAAATCGCCTACGTGTTCCCTTGTGTTTTCGCAACACAGGGAGGGCCTGATTTCTGTCAGATGTCCAGCGGCTCATCACAAAGCGTCCAGGAGCTATCCCGGCACGTCGACTGCGGAGGAGGGGATTTGGCACGGTCACCGGGTCACCGACATGCGGGTGCTTGTATGCTGAGTTTTGGCAAGTCCCAGCTTGCAATCAAACGGGACACGTGAGCCCAAAAGCTCCAAGTTGCTGTAAGAGCTTGTGGAGCCGCAGCAAGCACACCCTCTGAACGAATTCGCCCATGTGCAGAATGCAGATCTGATATGTCCGATATGTTTGGCCCCAGACCTGGTTTTTGCCATTCGTTTCGAAGCCATGGCAGTCACCAGGCCAATGCGTCGCCACGGCCTGGCCACAGCTTGTCTCGCGGTGAGCTTCTTGGCGTTGCCTCTTGGCTTCGTGGGCTTCACGGGCACCACGTTGCGCCCGGCGTCCGATGCGTCGGCACCGGCGCCGCTGGTGCAGCGGCAGTCCGCCGGGCCCTACCCCGCCGACACCCGGCAGAAGGACAAGCCCAAGGGCTACAAGAAGAAGCTCTACAAGCGGATGCCCAACAGCAACTTGAACACGAAGCAGATCATGCAGCGCATCACCACCATCCTGCTGAAGAACATGAAGGAAGATTTCCGCGACCCGCCGATCAAGACCGTTGACCTCATGAAAGAGATCGGCTTGACTGGCAACCAGATGAAGGTCAAGCGCTTCATCATCGACGCCTTGCAGCTTTTGCAGGCGCAGAAGGTGATCCACAAGGTGAAGCAGAACCCAGCGAGGTGGGAGATCCATGAGGAGTATCGCAAATACGGCGTGCCACCAGTCAGCAAGGAGAAGCGTCTCCCCTGGAAGCACATAGATCTCTTGCAGTTCAAGCGCACCAAGGTTCCGCGCTTCGGCCCGGTTCACGGCCTTTACCGTCCCAAGGACCGTGACTTCTTGAAGGAGAAGTACCTGCCACTTCAGTCCATCTACGATCCGGTCCTGAAACCTGACCCTTACACCACGGCCAACATCCGGGACCTGGACAAGAACCCTCCCTGGATCAAGCCCCAGGAGTTCAAGCGATTCGCGGACATGATTCCCGTGGCCCCCAAGGACAAGAAGGGCAGGTTTGTGGTTTGGGATGCGTATAAGGCCGATGCGGCGGATGCGGCGGATGCGGCGGATGCGGCGGATGCGGCGGATGCGGATGCGGCGGAGGAGAAGTGAGCCGCGCCGGAACAGCCCAAAGCCGGCATTCATGAAAGGGCTGGCATGCAGCAAAAATACAAAGCTGTGTAAACAAACAAAAATGAGTTTCTCCAGCTCGATTGCGGTGCGTAGTTGTGCTTCTTTGCTGCTGGAGATGTGCCCCCCCCCTCCAAAAACAAGAGAAGAAAAGGCAAGAACAACAAAAAAGAAGCGAAGAGGATATCTTTTCACGTGTGATTCGTTCCCTATTTGCGTCCAGCTATGGCGTCTAACTCTCCTGACTGGAAGGTGCCCCTGCATCGGCGGTCGGTTGCCTTGAAAGGGGCTCGGGGGTTGTTCCAACAAGAAGCTTTGCGTTCACTGGTCGTGCTACAACATGTTCAGAACATTTCAGACTTATTGGAAGTGTTGCATATATACTACACATGAAGATGTGTGTGTGTGTGTGTGTGTGTGTGTGGGTGTGGGTGTGGGTGTGGGTGTGGGTGTGGGTGTGGGTGTGGGTGTGGGTGTGGGTGTGGGTGTGGGTGTGGGTGTGGGTGTGGGTGTGGGTGTGGGTGTGGGTGTGGGTGTGGGTGTGGGTGTGGGTGTGGGTGTGGGTGTGGGTGTGGTGTGGGTGTGGGTGTGGGTGTGGGTGTGGGTGTGGGTGTGGGCGTGGGCGTGGGCGTGGGCGTGGGCGTGGGTGTGGGTGTGGGTGTGGGTGTGGGTGTGTGTGTGTGTGTGCATTTGTACATATATATATATATATGTTTATTACCCATAATAATTGTTAGATGGCTTAAACATGTTAACAAAAGGGGTCGGCCCAAGTCTGGCAGTCGGGTGAAGAGTCTGCTCCAGGCTGTCCCGCGCGGCTTCTGCCAAGGAGTCCTCGCTTTGCCAGGCGGAGGGTTAAAGGAAGGCCGTGGACGTGGCCCCTCGGTGCCCCATTGGGAAGCCAGACGTGGGAGAGACCGACATGAGACTTTATGGAAGTTGCGAGCAAAGCCCCACACAGGGGTGGTGAAAAAGGCCGCTAAACCAAGGAGAACCGTTTTATGCAAGAGGAATATTCACACTTGTCCAGGGTTGTCCCTCTGACCTCCCCCCATGTCGTTTCGGGCTCGCGGGCAAGCTCTGAGCCATGCCAAGTTGCAAGCATGTGCGGCGGACTCTGGCAGGTTCTATCTTTGCTCAGGTTCCAGATGTCAATGTCGAATGAGCAGTTAAGCCTCCCAAACCAAAGGAGACCCAGATCATTGGTTCACTCACTTGCCCAAAGCGAATCGACCGGATCTGACCATATCTTGTTTTTGTTTTTGTTCTTCCCCATTTTGGGTTTCCATTTGTCTTTGGCAAGTCTCCCAGCAAAAATACTCGATCGCCTTGTTCCAGGTCACATCCTCAGTGAGATTCATGGGTCACATCTTGGACGCAACAATTTTCATGGCAGGTGGCCCGTGGGCTGGAGCCCTTGGGAGATCCCCAGGCGCGGTGGAGCTTGTTGATGTCTGGAGGTTTTCGATATTTTTTCTCAGCGCACCCCGCACAAGACACGTGGCTGGCGTGTCTAGCAGGGGGCCAAGGAGCTATCCAAGTTTTTTTGCTTCTCAACAGGGAGCTGAGGAGCTACCAGGTCTGTACTTGACTGCTATTGGATCTTTAGACTTTGACTTTTTGGTTGGAATTGGGTTTTCCATTGAACCCCTAAAAGGGAAAAAAAGCTGTTGGCAGGGCGGGGGGTCAACAGCAACCAAGTGTAAGGCCAAGAGGTTTGTCAGGACATGGTAGCTGGCCACGCTGCTTCCAACTTGTCCAGCTGACGTCAGGTGCCTGTGTGGTTGTTTCGTCAAGCAGGCCGACATCTCCCTGAGTACAATGAGTATAAAGCCAAGCGAAGCTCGGCGCAACAGACAGTACAGGCAGGTGGTTTTCCTATTTTTTCATTCTGGTTGATGGCACGGGACATGCTTTACAAAAGGAAAGCCCTCGTGTTTTGCTGGACCCGCACCCCAAACTACAGTTTAACTGAACCAAAGACGTTCGTCAAAGATTTGCGGGTTGAGAAAAACAGAGGGCTTACGTTTCATTCGGCTCCCCAGGCCAGGCCTGAGCGAAACGCGCAAGGTGGGAAAAACTTTTTGCAGCTGCTGCAGGATCCGAAGGATGTTGCAGACGCTCGGCACAGGGAAGATGGGTCAATCAATTCTCCCCTTACCCAAGAGGCAAAATGGAAGGAGATGCCCTACCCAGCTTTTTTTCCACCTTTTGAACCTCACTCCAGGAAGCTTATGCCCTGGACACCCAGCGTTTTGTCACATGTTGACCATCACTCCAGGAGGCTTACTTTAAACTGGCGGCAGGTGCTGGTTTGGACCCTTCCTTTGGTCAGAAGAGAAAGAGAGAGAAACCTGGCAGCTGGGAGTCGAACATTTCGCACATGGCACCTCGTGCCCGAGAAATATACGGCGCCCGGACTGTTGAAAAGCTTTGGGTGAACAAGGGCCTGAACCAGCCAGTTTGGTTTGCCCAGTATTTGCAGGGTTTCATCCATCCCATGTTGAAGGATTTGTGTAACTCGTAAGAGAGAGAGAGAGAGAGAGCCATAGTTGTCCCACCCACCTGCTCATTGGATTTGCTCGCAAGCCCTCTCTGCTTTTGGAGTTCGGTGCTTGCCAGTGTTGGACAATTGAATAAGCCCCATGCGGAATGTATGGGTTTGTCTCAAAATAGAGGAACCCAAAAAAATGGTTGGTTTCCTGGTCGTGGAGAAAAGAGAGACTAATAATATGAAGTAGCTTTGGCAATCCTGAATTAGGACCACAGTGCCTCCATGCACCGTGCCGGTTGGCCAAGGAATGCACCATGCAGCCCTTGAGACGCTATGGAGTGGATGCTGCGATTTTGTTTTCTGACATTCTGGTCGTAGCAGAAGCGCTGGGGATTGATGTGGACGCTCGGCAAGCAATCGTGCAACCCTTGGCAGTGCCTTTCTTCACTTTGCTGATGGCTCCTTCACGAGTGCCTTCACGAGTGCGATCATTCCAGCCTTTGACAGTCGGCTGTGCTTGCAGTACTTTCGGGCCATGCATTTGAACAGAGGCTGTTGGGCCCGCACGCCCCCAAGAAGTCACGTGTCATAGGTCAAATTTCACAATCGGACGACCATGTCGACACGCAAAGGAGATGCCAGGCGGCAAAGGACCGGAGTTGTGTTTGGCAAGCAGCTTCTTCAAGCTTTCCTGCAGCTGGCAGATGACAGGGCGGGCCAAACCTTTGCTGCTTGGGCATTTGTTTGAAGTAGTTTTCACCAGCGTAGCTTTGAGCGAAGCAGGTTCTCAATCACAAATACCAACGGATCAAATTGGGCATGAATACGTCAAAACGGGGTTGTGAGAAAGGGTGCAGCAGTGAAACAACTGGGAAGTGCGTGTGCGCAACAAGGGGCCACGCTGACAATGCAGGAAACCCACATTCCTCCCGTCAATGGTTTCAACAGTTTGGGGCATTTGCTCTGCAACACGGAGCATGCAAGTCAACCACGACGACTAAGCGCAAGTCTAACTGCATGAGCAGTCTGCTCATGACGTTCAGTCAAAGATGTGGTGACAGAAGCTTACCAGACTTCAGGTGGCATAGCTTTCAGAGCAGCCAATGTGCTTCAGCCACACAAGTCTCCAAACCTGCCATGTTTGCATGGGGTTTTTACATGTCTTCCACAGAGGGTCCAAATACCTTGAAGGGAGGTACTTCGACCCCTAAACAACCCCCCAAAAGCCATCCGTACTTGGAATGTCTGGGAAGCCTGGGGATTGGGGGTGACGTCGCCAGGAATCCTGGTACCGCGGCCCTTGGAGTCCCCAGAGGACCTGCCGCGCCTGGCCACCTCCGTCGCCAGCGCGGACTTCGTGGAAGAGAAGCTGGCGGGGCGCAACCCACCCCAGTCACCTCTGCTATTGGGTCGGATCTTAGACTTTAACTTTTTCCGGGATCTTTCGGTTTAGGCTTTAACTAACTGGCTAAAAGGATCTATGAGGATCTTTAGACTTTAGCTTTTTGGATCCCCCTCATATTTTCCTTGTAACCAGCTAAGTCAAGGTGCAGCGGCTGGGCCCTTTTGATCGGTGAGGTTGGTGATAAATAGACAGGTTTCACCGGGTTAGATGGGGTTTCGTCCATCTAGGGCCATCGATTTTTCCATTTAGGGCCACCTATGGGTATGAGGCTGCAGTGGGTGAGGCTGGAGCCGGTGCTTTGATGCAAATGACGAAAGGCTGCCCCCACCCCACTGGGTCGGATATATGACGAGATGCGCCGCACAACGAGTACAGCAAGCTATTTGTGGTGGAATCTGTCGAAAGACATTGAAGGCTGCACAACAGTTTGGGAAATCTGTACCGCAGGGTGTACAGCTGCAGGGAGTTTCAGAATCTGTTGCTGGCAGTTGCAGATGCGTTAGCTGCAGGGCGCACGCATGCACGCGCACGCACGCACACCCGCACACCTGCACATCCACCCACACTAGCATAGACACACCCACGCGGACAAACACAGACAAGCATACATACCGCAGACACACACAAAACACAACCCACCCCACCCACCCCCCCACCAACCCACCAACCACCCGCCCCGCCCGCCGCCCACCCACCCGCTCGCCCAGCGCAAGGCTCATGTCCTGGAGGCCGTGCGGCTGATCCTGCAGACGATGCCTGGTGCTGAGCCCTGCGCCGTTGGCCCTGCGGGACGTCCACTTGAAAGCACGACTGTCATTTGACCCACAAAACACGAGGTTTCCCGTTTCCGAAAAAAGGTAGGGAGCTGGATTTCAACACAGGACAATTCCAAAAAGCAGAGGCAGGTTACAACGAAAACACTTGGTGTCCGGTCATTTCTTGGTGGCTCCCAGCCATCTTCTTAGTCTTTTAAAACTTTTAGCTTCTTAGTTTTTAGTGGGGACTTCCATTAAACCCACTAAAAGAACAGGTCAGATTTCTTGAGCTTTTTGGAGTTTTCTCGGCGCAAGGTCCCAGGAGGGCATGGGCCACGTACCGCTCATCGGCTTCAGCGCTGCGCCATGGACGCTCTTCTTCTACATGGCAGGGTCGAGGGTTTTCCAAAATCAAGCCAGGTAGCGCCACCAGACCACCAGACGCCACTGGGCAGGACATTTCCCAGTGCCCTGACTTTGTGGACTGACTTATTTTTTTGCGAGGGGGGGGGGGGGGTAGTGGAAACCATCGTGAGCTGTGTTTGGGGCGTGCAAAACAATTGCAAACCACATCCAACACACGGCAAGAATGGCTTCGCTTGGGCAAGAGGCCAAGAGTGTGCGTTTAATATCGTTTAATGTCAGTATGGTTATATATATATAGATGAGTTTCACCGGTTTCAGTGCCATCGATTTTTCCCAACAGGACATCCAGGCCTGGAACGTTTCTGGGTATCGTGCGTGAGTCGGCTGAGCTAAGCCGCAGGTGGGCGGCTCATCCAGGAAGAGGACTGCCCGCACTGAGCTAGGCTGTCAACTTTGCTTTTCATTGCTTCCATTTGCTTAAGAATATTTCCCCCTTAAGTTATACAAGGAAATTATCACTACTGGACATATTGCTTTTACATTTTTCCAGGGGTCTTAGCCAAATGGAAGATTGGGTCAGATGTTCGCAAGGTGCTGAGCTCACAAATGCTTACTGTTCATGCTTTCTGTTGTTCACCCCGACTCCAGCAATTCAACTTTCCAAAGCTGCCAGTCGGAGCCGGTGGTTGAAGGGAACTGCGGGGACCTAGGGATGGGTCGTTTGTTTCTTTGTTAGGAGCGCAAAGGCACTCTGTGTGACGCAATCTTTGGCCCGAAGCTATGGACCCCTTGGCCTCTGTCCGGCCCGAACCCAATGACTCGCGGGCGGTGATGCTTGCCGCTTTCGCGGCCTCGGGGGACGAGCGTGGGGTGAGGCCCGCGAGTGCCATGTACGAATGGCCCACAGATGAAACAAGTGCTCGAGCAGTGGCTAGGTCCGCCAGTGGTGCCCTTTACCCTTTTTGGGGGAGGGTTCCCCGAGTAAAATAGACTAGGAAAAAAGAAACGGTACCAACTTATTCTAGCCTCTGGAGGACCGAGACCACCTAACAGACTTCGGCGAATCGTTGGTCAGATCACCCTTGAGGCGAGTCATCGAGGAGGACCCCGGCGCGGTCAACGAACTAGGCCTCGATGGCACGTCCCCGCTGTGCGCGGCCGCGATGTGGGGCCATGCCGCCTGGACTTATGGACCTCAGCTGGTGCGATAGGTAAAAATTGAGTTGGAATGCCCCCTACAAACCATCTCTTTGAGTTGGAATCCCTGGGTTCATGAAAACATTCCCTACCTATTGCACCAGCAAAAGAATGTGTGTGATGTAACCCCCCGGTAGGAGGTCCAGGGCTTGGGTTGCAGGTTTCATGTTGGCTGTTCAAGTTCGATTTCATGATTGCAGGGCCTACAGGAACTTGCTTTCTGCCAAAGGGGGATACATATCGCCAAACCGTTTCAAGTTGGATTGGTTCCAGACAAGTGTTTCTTCAATTGCAATTGAGGCTGTCTCGAAGTTTTAAGAGAAAACAAGTGCGTTAAGGCCGACCAGGAGTTGTTGCAAGTACCCCGATTGAGAGCGGATGGTACGAATCCTACACAAAACCCAAGCTCCAGTGGTGCCCTTGTTCCGCGGGTTTCCCTTCAAATCAACCCGATGTTTTGGGCCCGCTTTATTCCCTACCCCCAGATTTTCCTGAAACCTCAACAGACCGGTGAATTTTGATTTGGAATCTCCTGGACATGGACCCAGGGCATTTTGGGGTTCCAGTAAAAAATTGGTTGGGTTGGGTTGGGTTGGGTTGGGTTGGGTTGGGTTGGGTTGGGTTGGGTTGGGTTGGGTTGGGTTGGGTTGGGTTGGGTTGGGTTGGGTTGGGTGGTTGGTTGTGTTGTGTTGTGTTGTGTTGGGTTGGGTTGGGTTGGGTTGGGTTGGGTTGGGGGTTGGGTTGGGTTGGGTTGGGTTGGGTTGGGTTGGGTTGGGTTGGGTTGGGTTGGGTTGGGTTGGGTTGGGTTGGGTTGGGTTGGGTTGGGTTGGGTTGGGTGGTTGGTTGTGTTGGGTTGGGTTGTGTTGGGTTGGGTTGGGTTGGGTTGGGTGGGTTGGGTTGGGTGGGGTGGGGTGGGGTGGGGTGGGGTGGGGTGGGGTGGGGTGGGGTGGGGTGGGGTCGGGTGGGTTGGGTGGTTAGTTGGAGAGACTGAGGTGAAGATCCTGAAGCTTCTGCTGGATGCCATGGCTTCTCCCCAGCTGCGCAACGAGAACGGGCCCCGATGGACCCCGTTGCACGCGGCAGCCCTGCAGGAGGAGGGGAAGAGTTGCAGCCCAGCGGAAAGCGGTCGGGCGGATTGGCAGGGGGTGGTGTCGGGGTTGGGGCGTGGTGGCATGATGCACATTTGTAAAGCTTCGGCAGTCCCGAAGCGGGTGTTTCTCTTTCTTGGTACTTAAAACCATCCGCGAAAACAGCATCCACCCCAAATTTCATCCTTTTTGGAAGATCGAGCGCTGCATTGGGAACCGGTGTTTTTTTGCTGGCCCCGGCTGGGGTTTCACCCCGGTCAGGTGGCGGCTGGCTGGCTGGTTGGTTGGTTGGTTGGTTGGGCGTCCGCAACCGCAGCGTCCACGCTTATTTGGTGTGGGGTCTGGTTTTGCAGCAGTTGAGAGGGCTTGCTGAAATCGTAATGAGGGCGGGTCTTGGGTTTGTTTGGTTCATTTAGGCTCGAGGTTGTCTTTGAGTTCTTGCAGTGGCAGCCAATGCCAAACGAGCCCAAAACTCGCGCAACCCATCCCTAAAGCAACCCTAAGCTCACTGCTGAACCAGCCGCGCACCTAGCACGAATCAGCCCCAAGCCAACCCCAACCGACCCAAAGGCAACCTAAAACCCACCCATCAGCATCCTAGACATCAGCCACTAATGTGAACCCCAAACAAGCCCAAGACCCGCCCTCGCCCGCCCTTATTTCAGACCTCAGCAAGAGCCCAAAACTCACCCGAAACCAGCCCCGCGCAACTCTCAACTGCCACCATCGAAGCCAATAGGCAGCCCTTCGTCATGGTGGTGATGCGGCCAACCAACCTGACCCCAGCCAGGGCAACGGGGAGGCCTTATGCTGAGCCGCGGCTATTAACAAACCGCGGCTAGCAACACAAACACCTCGAGCCATTGCAGGTTCATGGCTGTTTAAAGTTGTTTCCTTTGAATTGCCCAACCGCTTTGGTTTTGCTGGATGCTGTCCACAGTATTGCTGAGCTTCCTGGTGACCAAGATGTGCCAACATGTTTTGGGTTACCCGCTTCAGCATCTCCGTGCCTTTCTACACATATTGACCAGAAAGTGGTGATGCATGATGATGCATGTTGCTTGCCTGTGGCCATTTCCGTGCGCAGCATACCGGCCAGCGCCTTTGTTTGAAGGGAAGCCAGGCTTGTGCAGCGCACTGCCTAAGGCATGCTCTTGCTGGAGCACAAGGCCAGCCCTTGGGAGAAGGACGTGGAAGGCGGGTGCGTGTGTTGGGGTTGGTTCAAAAGGTTTGGGTCGTTTCTGTGACCTGTTGTCGGAGTCTTCATGCCAATCTCACGACATCCGACAAACCCCCATGTTCCAGTGGTTGTCAGTGCTGCAAATCTTCTCACCACACCCTGGCCTACTTGACTACCTTACAAAAGCCTGCCTGTGCTGAGAGCTCTCTTTGTCAAACTTGATGGATGGCGGGCATCGCCATCCATCACAAACCCTACACATGAAAGATTCACACGCACACACACACACACACACACACACACACACACACACACACACACACACACACACACACACACACACACACACACACACACACACACACACACACACACACACACACACACACACACACACACACACACACACACACACACACACACACACACACACACACACACACACACACACACACACACACACACACACACACACACACACACACACACACACACACACACACACACACACACACACGCACACGCACGCACGCACACACACACACACGCACGCACGCACGCACACACGCACGCACGCACGCACGCACGCACGCACGCACGCACGCACGCACGCACGCACGCACGCACGCACGCACGCACGCACGCACGCACGCACGCACGCACGCACGCACGCACGCACGCACGCACGCACGCACGCACGCACGCACGCACGCACGCACGCACGCACGCACGCACGCACGCACGCACGCACGCACGCACGCACGCCCACGCACGCACGCACACACACACACACACACACACACACACACACACACACACACACACACACACACACACACACACACACACACACACCACACACAACCACCCACCCACCCACCCACCCACCCACCCACCCACCCACCCACCCACCCACCCACCCACCCACCCACCCACCCACCCACCCACCCACCCACCCTCCCACCCACCCACCCACCCACCCACCCACCCACCCACCCACCCACCCACCCACCCACCCACCCACCCACCCACCCACCCACCCACCCACCCACCCACCCACCCCCCCACCCACGCACCCACGCACCCACGCACCCACGCACCCACGCACCCACGCACCCACGCACCCACGCACCCACGCACCCACGCACCCACGCACCCACGCACCCACGCACCCACGCACCCACGCACCCACGCACCCACCCACACGCACACGCACAACCGCGCACCGCACGCACCGCACGCACCGCACGCACCGCACGCACCGCACGCACGCACGCACCACGCACCAGGCGCACACACGCAGGCACAGCACAGGCAGCACACCCACAGGCAGGCACACGCACGCACGCACACGCACGCAGGCACCACACACCCACACGCCCACACGCCCGCACGCCCGCACGCCCGCACGCCCGCACGCCCGCACGCCCGCACGCCCGCACGCCCGCACGCCCGCACGCGCACGCGCTCACACACGCGCGCAGGCGCGCGTGCGCGCGCACACACACACACACACACCCACACACGGCCACATTATACTACGCATTGGAGCAGCAGACATGGTTTGAGCGTGCCCCTCGGAGCACAAATCGATGGCCATTGCTGGATCCCATTGACATGAGACGAGTGCCAGCTGAGATTCCAGCGTCAGCAGGGCTTTTCGGCGGGAACTCGCAAAACAGTGGCTTCATAGGAACGTGGGGTGCAGATTGCGGCCCGTTGCTCATTCACCAGGTGTGACCCCCTGCGACTACGCCTCGGTCTCGGAGGCTGTTTGGCCGTTGTTCGCGGCTCAAGGCTGCGAGAGAGAGCCCAAGAGCCAATTGGTGGAGAAGGGCGTGCTGAGAACCTCGTGATGAACCTGCCGGGGGGGAGGGTGCATTTGTTTGGAGAGGTCTTTTCTTGGAGTTTGTGCGCGAGCTTTGTGGCTCTTCTACGTGTCCGACGTGCAAGGCTTCGGTGAGGTCGGTTACCGTTTTCGTGACAAATTCGAGAGCTTTCGGGGTTATAGAGGCCTTGCAAGGCTGCTCAAGGTTTTTACCTGCGTATGCGCATCCTTAGAAACTTTAGCCACTCAGCAAGATGCAGGCATGCAGACAGGCGTTTACCTCATAACTAGGAAGCATGCTGTTCAAAAAGGCCAGGCGGGTTCCACACATGCACATGAGCCCGGCTGGGTCACTCCGCTCACACAACGGGTCATCTTACATTGACATGAGGTTCGTGTTGTCCAAGCAGTTTGATGAGACTAGACGAGGCTTCTTTGGTAGGAGTCCGTTTGAAAGAAGTGCTGCTTGGCCCACGGCCTTTTTGGTCGTCGCCTCAGGAAAGGCCAGCTCCTCCTTGGAGAAGCAGCTGGAACTGGAATCTCAGCAGAGCCCTGCCCGGCGGGGCTTGGTCAATGCTGGGCACCCCAGTTGGACGGTCGCACCGTCTGATCTGGTGGTTTTTGCTGCGGGGTTGTGGTTGGGCAGGCTGCACGGTGCACTGGGGGTCTTCCTGGGCTCTCAATTTAGGAAGTTTTAGGAGTCTTCAGGAATCCTTTCAGGCTGTTGGTTGGTGCCACATTGTAGTAGTCGAAAACAGGGCGGACGCCCCCTAAACCCCACTTTGAGTATACGGTTGCCAGGACGAGTTCCGAAGTATGGGCCCAATGACCGGACTCGATAAAAAGGGGTCCCTAAGCCACGAACTTTACGCGCTGTTTAGCTGGATCTTTGGACTTTCACTTTTTGGGGGGAATCGGATTTTGCGTTGGACCCACAGAAAGTCAAAGTGGAGAACTTTTTGCGGAGGGGTCGTTCCAGCAACCCAGTCGTTACAACCCAGTGAAGCCCTTGTGCCGTAGGAGTACTCCCGTCCGGGCAGCTCCTACGTGGTGTGTCGGGAGTTCCCACAGCGGCCCGGCTCCCGGGCGTTGGCGCCTCTCTCGCGGATGGCCACGCCCATCGACATCTTGGCGGAGGAGAAGGAAGTGGAGCAGCTGGCAACCAGCGGCTCGAAAAGACGCGGTGGTTTGAAAAGGATAGCCGTTCACACATTATTGCGAGGAAGTGTAGTTCATATTACTTAATTAAGGAATTCTGATTAGTCTGTTATCTTTTCGCACTCAACCAGGCCTTGATAGAACGAGACGGAGAGGGGGGAACACTTTGAACGATCCTCCAAACGCATACCTAAGTCTCCGACGCAAGCGCTCCGTGGCGCAAGGCAGCCTACCTGTCCATGAAACATTCTCGTAAGGAAGGATGCCAATGCTGCTGGTGTGAACCTTGTTGTACACTCTGCTGGGCAGAAGCGGGTTGAAGGGTTGAACCAGGAACCTGGATATATAATCGTGCATGATATGGCAGTTGTGCTTCCCAACATTTGAGTTTGGAACACGAGTGCCTCAAGTCGGGGGTGGCTATGCTTCCCATCATTGTTTGCAGTGCTCGCGCCTTCAGCTTTTTCTAGCTGCTGGATTTATGCCATGAGACAGGCTTGGACAAGGGTGGGGTGGTATTTCGGCACCAAAATCGGCAGGTCGAGCAAGCTGTTTCTCATTGTCAGTGCACCTTATGCCAGCTTGCCAGTGACTGGACGAACCCCCAGCTGAACCCTGCAAAATCGCATGCGAGTGAGCCGTCGAGGTGGGAAGTCCCTGGCTGCCTGAAGCTTTGCTCGGCCTTCGCGGCGCGCCGCGAAGGGAGCCGCAAAAGGCGGCCCCCTGCTTGCGCGTGACGCTGAGGTGAGCTCATCGAAAAGCGCGCAACACACGCCACGTGAGGTGCTTGGAGTCCCATTCGGAGCCTGTTAATTTGGCAACGTGCCTGGTGTCAAATGTGTTGAGTGCGTCTCTTGGAGGATGCATGGTTTGGTGTTTGCATCCTGGCAGCCTTTTGAGCTTAAACCAATGGCCTGCATGTTTGCCTTTGAACCTGTCAACTTGTTCAAGCATGAGTAATACGGGTTTGTCGCAAAATTGGGGACCCCCAAACCTGCGGTTTCTTGCTTACTACCACGAAAGGAGTACCCCCAAAAAAGATAGCCATAGATTCTTGAATTTGACTTGGACCAGCCGGGCCCCATAGGGCGCATGCAGCCTTTTTCGAGGATCATCCACTTGCGAAACCGAAAGCGAAGGACGGACGCCGGGGAGCTGTGGCTGAAGAATCACCCAGAGGCGTCCCAGGAGTTGATGTCCTTGCTGAGCGAGGCTGGAAATATCTCGGGGTTCAAAGCCAGGTTTTGCAGGATATCTCACTTCCTGAGTGCATGGACTTTATATTTTTTTGGGAGACCATTTTAGTGGTAATGATTTGTTTTGCTTTTTCCCCGGGACATCCACTCAGGAAGTGAGTAGATGTTGTTTATCATCAAACACATGGGAAAACTGCGATTCCCTGACATTCGACGCCCCTTTTTGTTTCCATTGGTTGCTGGGTAACTCAGGTTCGGTTCTTATGGTCAGTGTCTCAAACTCTTTGCTAGAGAGTTCTTGCTTACGCTTTGGTCAACGCTGATCAGCCTTTGGAAGAGCGCCTGCATGAGGAGGCTGTAACCTGTAACCTGCTATTCTCACATAAGTGTTGCTGCAGAGATTGCTGAAAAAGAGGTGCGGTACTTAAATATGTTTTTTCCTCGTAATGTGTATCCTAAAACCATTTCTATGATATTTACATTATGTTCAAGCTTTATTTCTCTACAAGACATTCTGGGGGGAGCTATGAAACAAGGGTTTTGCGGTCACTTCTGGAGTGAAATGAAGGTAAGACATTCCACTATAGGGAGTGCTAAGTGACCAAGTTCAAGAAGGTTAACCAGCTATGCCAGAGCAAAAAGCAACGTGCAAGGCCGCTCCACATTCTTTTTGCAAAGGGCTGGGAAGGCCAAACGTGTGTGGTGGCATTCCTGTGCGTTGAGATGAAAAAGAGATGAGAACGTGCGAGAGGGCGGCCTTCCGGCTCCCCATTCTAGATCTCCAGCCGTCCAACAGATCCATAAAGAGACGGCTCGCCACATCTGTTTTCGAATGTTTGGTCTGGAAGCGAGATGAAGAGCCCCAAAGATACCACTCACGAAGTTGTAGAAATATAATTAGAAAGGGAATGCAATTCTACCCGTCCAACCCTCACTTCTCTATGTTGTGGCTTAGAATATATGAATGATGTCTTGAAGATATGACGTTTACAAAATCCAACAACTGGTTTCCTTTCGGGGCTCAAAGCCTGGACGCATTCCATCTCACTTTCCCTACCTCTCGCAAGGAGAATCAATAGCTTCTAGAAACAGGAAAGTCATGCCTCCTTCCAGCTCGAAGATTTGATCAATGATTCTGTTCAGGATTAAACAAATGGAAATAAGCCCAGCTCGTTCTTGGCCGGTGCCATGTGAGGTCATCATCGAGTACCTCTCCGCCCAGGTCCGTTCGGGCTGCCACGTCTTGCAGGTCTTCGAGGCCATGGGCGAGCATATCAGCCCGGAGCTTCGGCAAGCTGGAAGGGTCCGGTTTACTTCCATCGGCTGAAATGTGTTTTTCCCCTGCTTGGTGTTAAAAGAGAACTATTTGCTGATTGTTTTTTTTTTTTTTTAAAAAAATTTTTTCCCCTTTTTGGTTTTGAAGGGAACCATTTGCTGAAATGATTTTTTGCTGAGTTTACCCTTGTTGGCTTGCCCTTTTGGGTTTTACGGGATAATGTGTGATTTTCCCATTGGCTGAAATCAACATTTCCCCTAGCGAAGAGGGGAAAGTGATTTGCTGAAATGAATGTGTTTCATTTTCATTTTTTGTTTTAACGGGAACTATCATATCTGGAGCTATTTTCATATTTGCCAGGGGGCATAAAACCAAATATGGAGGTTTAGCATATGGGGACCCTTTGGGTCATTATCCAAAATAAGGGGGTCATGACCCCATCTTTTAAGGGTTATGGAGACTCCAGGTAGTTTTGTTGGAGCCATTTCTTGGAATAAGACCAACGTGTTTTTGTGCTTTCGGTGGCTATCGAATCTCATTCTCCAGATGTTCAGTGGGTTCAATAAATGATAGGAAAACAACATGTCCTACCTGCGGTTTCGTCAGTTGGTGTGCCTGTGGTCCAAAGTTGTTTGGGCGCTGCAGAGGTGAAATGTTGTTCCATCCCGCTTTTCAGGATGGGTTTGGCAATCGAAAAGGACATGACTGTTCAGCTCATCATAACGTCGATAGATAATGATGAATTCCTGCCTCGTGAATGTTTTTTTTGTTTCTTTTTAACGGACCCATCCGGCGCATCACTCAAGCATGCAGTATAACATGCATGATATGCTACCTCCCATGCTGTGCGGAATTTTCCTGTGAAGACGAATCCTGCAGAACTTCACGTCCAGATGAACCGTTGGTCCACTTTGGCGCCATTCATGGCGCCCTTCTTAGCAGTTCTGCTTCTTTTCCACGAGCCTTTACACTCGAGGTCTGCAGGTTTATGGGACCCGAGTCCCATCCCACAGCTTTTGCCTATGAGACAATGGTCAATGTGCTTTTGTTTGCCATTGCCGGGGCTCGCCGGAAGGGAACAACAACCACGGCCCCTTTCTTGCGTCTTCACTCATATACCATGATTTTTGGGTAGACTGATTGAACTCTTAATTCGCCATAGATTTTGTTGGGCAGACTTCTTGTTGGGCAGACTTCTTCAATTCTTAGTTTTCCATAACATATTTCTTGCGTAGACTGGTTGAATTCTTAGTTTGCCACAGTTTTGTGGGCAGACTCCCTGTGAATCGCCTGGACTTTGTGGGGTCGACGGCCGTCGCCCGGTCCGAGGATCACCTGGAGACCTTCGCTGTGCCGGCCATGCGCCGCATCGCCTCCGCGTTGAAGGAGAGGCACCCTGAGGCGGGATGCCATGGATTGGATGAGAACCCTCGCCTCTAGCGGGGACACCGGAAAGGCCCTCCAACAAGATGCGCTGGTTTGGTGTGGCGATTTGGCTGACACCCATACTGGCAAGATTCTATGATGCGAAGACACATGTTTGGCACACCGGCGCTTTGCACCATGTCTGTTTATCTCAGCCAGGGTGAGATTTGAGGGCCTTGGACCCCTGAGGTCCATTGGGCGGTCGTCAAAGGGACCGCGGTCAAGAAGCTGTTGACGTATGTCCGTGAGTGAAGTTCTTCCCCTTGTTCTGCGTTGGTTGATTTATGCTCGCAACGGAACGCAATGAGATGTGGACCAGATGTGCCGAGCATCGTTGGGTTGCATGAAAAGCAGGGGTCATTTTGTGCCGGCATTGGTGGAACTGGATCTCTTGAAGATCTGCGGCAGGTGCCGCTGATGGTATTTCCTCGAGGTGCTTGCTACGCACTTCCTGCTCTTCAGCAGGCTCGGATGCGTTGTTCTGCCTGTGGCAGAACAGCCGGGGCTCAACCTACCGACCAGGGGAGGGGGGCCGGGGGCTGCATCGAATCATGTTAACTTTGCTGACGTTGCCAGCCCAGCCGATCAGCTATGTCTAGAGTGTCAAGGGTCCAACCTGACAAGGAAGGGGCATCTTCCAACAATCCAAGCTTCAACTAGATGGCCAAATTGTGGGTGGCGAAACTTGGCTTCTTTGGGTGGGACTTGCGAACCGGAAGCCGCAGCATTCACGATGTTTTTGTTTGCAATTTGGCTTGCAATTTGGCGGATTGCGAAAGGTTTTGATGATTTCAACGTTTTTAAGAACACCACAAGTGGCATCATGCAGGTTGGGCATGTCCAAACCGTAGAGCGAGACTCAACAGAGCATGTTGACGTTTCAACTGTTTGTGGGTTTCAAAAAAATGATTTGCTGCAGGGCTCCAAGGCTGGTCAAAGCCTGTGCTATCATGCGAATGAGATGAACATGGAGTTTATCCCATGCACGGCTCTTTTCATCCCCCGGAGCCCCTTTTTTCAGAGGTGGTCGTGTCAAACCTTTGTCCATACAATAGAGAGAGAGAGAGAGAGAAAAAAAAAAATGGGAAAAAAAAGAAAAACATGGTCTCCGGTCCACCTCTTGTAGCTGACCAGCATAAAGCTCAGCACCCCTCCACCCCTTCGGGGGCCTTCATACATACACACATATTTACGTACAATGTAGGTATGGGGCAAAACGAAACCGCCAGGGAATGAGGGCACCGCAGGTGTTCGTCGCTGTGTCCATTTACCAGAGCAACCCATTTTGGGCCCGACTATCACCGCGTCTGCGCGCGGAGACCTACCCTTCCGGGGTCTTCTTTCAGGTTCCTCTCCCCTTGCTCGTTGGCCCCGGCAGAACATGGCAACTCTTCAAAATCGGTAAGTGGCATTTCCGAACAGGCGGCTTTCCCAACGCAGATCCCGAACCGCCGGTTTCCTGGGTTCGTCTCACAGAGCGGCTCAACGCGGCTGCCTGCGCTGCGCCCGTTGCGCGCGGCTGCCTGCGCGTTGCGCAGGCGGGCTACGACGTGGTCACCGCAGACACTGCCACGGACTTGGAGCGCGCGGTCGAGGACTTGACCGCCGCTTCCGGCGGAGGCGGGTGGCGTTTCGTGGGTTGCGGCGGGTTCGGTGCTCGCGCAGCGAAGAAATGGCGGAAGCGTGGGCTTTGTTCAATAAGCCATACCTTGGGCTATGCAAGGAACAGATCCCTTTTTAAAGTGGCTTTCCTATAGGGATTGTGGATTGGGATTGGCCAAGCCTTTATTTTGGACAGCCCAGGAAGTGGGCGTTGTTTCGAACAAGTTGGCATTCCATGAGCCATGGCAGCTTCCAAAGTAAGAGCTTGCTATAGGGGGCAAAGTGGATGTCTCGCACCCTGCCCTACGCCCTACCGTTTGTGTTCATGACCAGCTTTCAAGCGTCTTGCTTCCAAAGCACAAGGTGGCCCAAGCGTGTTTTTGCTCGATTGCTCGGCTGTCCGTTTTGATGTTATCGTGTTTTTGCGCGCTTGTTTGTGTAGCTTCTTACGTTTTTGTCAGGTTGTGGCTAAGTCAGGCAGGCAGTAAGTCAATCAGTCAGGCAGTCGGTCAGGTATGGAGTCAGTCAGTCAGTTAGTCAGGCAGGCAGTCAGTCAGTTATGGAGTCAGTCAGTCAGTCAGTCAGTCAGTCAGTCAGTCAGTCAGTCAGTCAGTCAGTCAGTCAGTCAGTCAGTCAGTCAGTCAGTCAGTCAGTCAGTCAGTCAATTATTGAGTCAGTCAGTCAAGTCAAGTCCAGTCCAGTCCAGTCCAGTCAGTCAGTCAGCCAGCCAGCTCTCCAGCCAGCCAGCCAGCCAGCCAGTCAGTCAGTCAGGCAGTCAATCAGGCAGTCCAGTTAGTCCAGTCAGTCCAGGCAGTCCAGTCAGTCCAGTCAGTCCAGTCAGTCAGCAGTCAGCTTGTGTTTTGTTTGTTTGTCTCTGTGTCAGTGTGTTCGTGCGCCTGTGTCGGTCTTTGTGACTTTGTGTCCCTTTGCGTTTGCTTGCCTTTCGGTCTTATTGAATCTTATTGACCCCGACCAGTTGGCGTCAATGGCATCATCTCGTGTTCGTGCTTGGAGGGACCTGGTAACCTTGCTGGCTTCTGGGATCGCGAGGCGAACTTTGCATGCTGCCATGACCCGGCGCGGAGGTCGGGTGGCAAACCTGCAGGGCAACTTTGACCCGAAGTGGCTGCGACCAGGAAGCAGCGTAGAAGACGCACCTCGGGCCGCAATGCCTTTTTCCACGTTGACGTTCTGCCTGAGCCGTCAAGCTCCTGATCGGCCCGGCCTGGTCGGGCAACATCCTAAGATCTATGAAGTGCCGGCTTTCATTCGGGGGGTGCTGGGTGCCAAGAGGTTCTGTTGTTTGTGGCCTGGTTTGGTAGCTGAATTTGCCAGTGTTTTCCTTCTTCAGGATTTGTTTTGCATGTGTCAGGTCAAATGATTCAGGTTGTCGAGGCGTTTAGAGCCTTCCAGGGGAGCAATTTGAACATTCAGTCGCTCGCCGACCGTAGCCATTGGGCTCAACGGTCGCTCGCTTGTTTCCGTCAGGCGGGGGAGGGGGGCTGGAGGGGGCTGCATGGCGCGTCGGCGGCCCTATGGAGTGCTAGCCCCTCGCGCAAATTGGGCAATCTCGCTTGACTGGCGCAGCGCTACACAGCAGCACGAGTTGTTCAAAGCTTCCCTCAATGTGTTCCTTGGATTATGTACCGAACGGCACCCTTTGCAATGTTTCATACTTAGGATTGGTCGCCCCTTCATTTGTCACCCAGCAATAGAAGTAGCGTATTTTCTAAGTTCTCTCGCTGACTGGCTTGCCCACCAATAGCCTGTACGCTCGGTGAAATCCTTGCCGCACCAAAGCATCAATCATGCCGTTTCAGATAGGTTCAATTCCACTTTCTCGATTCAACCCACAGCCCCTGGCAACATGCATTGTGATGATCCTGTGGCCCTTGCATAGCGCGACCCTGATGATTTTGGTCGCGGCAAAGGCTATCAAGATGGGGAAGGAGGGCCTCCCTTCTTAATTCTTTTCAGCTCATGTTCGCTTTGACAGCTGAGTTTCTTTGCTACATCCTGTTGCAAAGCCACCACAAGGCAAAGGTGGCCCAAAGTAACCTGCCAAGCTCATGTTGGGCATTCAAGTTTTCGGCATGTGTTTACTAGTTTCTGAGCTCTTTCCAACATAGGTAGAGTTAAGGCAGCTGGGTTCCGGCACTGAGCCGTGCAATGTGTGAGTGTTTTCTCCGATCCATGCCAACCAGCCGCAAGATCCAGAGATGAAGCTCAACCCTTCGGAAGCTTGGCCGGACGTGGGGCTCGGGACCAGAGAGAATTGGAAGCTCCATGCAAATCGAAACTGGAGAACATCCACATTTGCAGGTAGAAGCCAGAAACCAAGATGTTCATGAGTTAGATTGTAACTGCCTCCTTCCTATTGTGTGCTTGTCGAACTGCGATCTCATTGAAGGGCTTGGGGCAGGTGGGGGGAGAGATGGGCTCGGGAAGTCCGGCATAGCTTGTGGCACCGGCCCGGGCGCCGTGAGGTAAGACGAGCAAATCGGAGACTCCACTGATATCCACAGAAGGATGTCCTTCTTTTGGCTTTCCTTCGAGGCAACTGCGGGGGTACCCACACTCAGGACATTTACCCGGCCGTACGGCGGTTCTTGCTGGAGAGCGGGCTGAACCGCACCCTCAAGGCGCTGGAGAAGGACTGCCTGTCACAAGCGTGGGTCCGGGGTCTCGTCTTGGATGCATGGCGCGAGCTAGGTAGTTACCCCAGCAGCTGGCTAGTTGCCTGGCTTTCTTCGTGAGGAGTAATTTGTGTTTGTGAGGCGTACCATGCAGCTGCAAGTTCTACAGGTGGCAAGCAGCAAAGATACCTCGGTTGCCAGTCTTTGCATCCCGCGAAATCTATGTTTGCTCATTGGTCGAAGAAAATAAATGTGCAGTTGTGTTTCATCAGCTCTGATTCTCATCATCAAGCCCTTGGGCTCATAGGGCCCCTGAATTTATTTCCCTGACCTCCGAAAGTGGACCCACTTGTTGGGGTGGATGTCCACTTGGTGGGAAATCCCCTTACTGGAGGAAACCTCTGCGCTGGAGGACCTGCCGGTCGCAGCTTGGCTCCGCGTTGTTGTTTGGAGCGGAATCGTCTTCTGGGCCGATTCTTGGACCAGTTTTAGGTGAGGTGTTTGTGTGTGTGTGTGTGTCTTCATTGGGATAATGTTTAAACGGACATGTAAGAAGCCCGAAACCTTCAGAAGGGTTTCTTGAAGCTGTGCCAGCAAACACCTCCTGCAAACCGCAACTGCTTAAGGACTGATTCACTACTGACAC